CGGCAAGCCACTCCCACAAAGGAGGCCACACCCACAGAGTAGGTTCGAACAATTTTTGAAACCCACCACTGCAGTATATGCATGTTAATCTATGAACATAAGTTGTTGCATTTACGATATAGGTCAGGGGTGGGCGTGGCCAGCTCAACGCCACCCCTGTTGGGGTACCTGTGGTGGCACAAGCGCTCTGCCAGCGAAATCAGGCTCCCGAGCTCTGTTTTTGGCTGCCAGGGCATCCTGCAACCCTCTGCCAGTGAAAATGGAGCTCAGGAGCCCGTTTTCGCTGGCAGAAGCACTGCCGACTGGTCCTTCACTGTTTCCAGGATGGCGCTGAGATCTAAGGACCCCCATGGGTGAGATCCGGCCGCCGGGCCTTGAGTTTGACACCTCTGATACAGGTGATACCTCTTCTCAAAATGCTAGCATTTTTCTCACTTTTTCCAAAAACGTGTACAGTAATGCCTTCGATATAGATAAATATGCAAAAGAATTAACTTTTATTTCTTCTTCTAGCAGACAGAGAAATATATTTCTCTTGGGCATAGTTTAAAAAAATCAGAGCTTTCATATATATATATATATAAATATCCAAATATAATACAATATTATACGGTTATAATATTAGAATTAGAATATGGGACTTTACAATTATATACATGCTATATGTCTTTCTTCTAGCTGACCCAAGTCCTCCCTCTCAATTAATTAGAATATTTTAAAATTAAAGTGGACAGCCTCTGAGAAAACTTGTAACATCTGGTCAGATTTGGCAAACTTCTAAGATTTTGACTTTTTAAAGTTAGGATTTTTTTCCCCCCCTGGCACCTGCAGTGCCCTGTTAGTGTAACTACCAGTAGTCAGGAACCAGTGTTTTACTGCTAAGAGTTTTATCTTATTTATAAATATTAAGAACATCATTTTTTAATGCTTAATGCTCACGTACAGTAGAAAAGGAAGGAAAATTCTAAGTTTATTTTTGCATCAGCATCCACTCTACTTCATTATAGGGAACATTCTTTTTCTGGACAAAAGTTGGATATATATTTTTTTTAGTTTTCTTAGGAAAAAGAAATAATTTCCTATTTCTAAGAGATAAAAGGACTTATTCCTAAAAACTGCATCCAGCTTCTGAACAGGTTTATCTGGGGATCGGGATGATAGTAACTCTGTGAAAATCATATATTCTCCACCAGCAACTTGATTTTCACTTCTGTGACGGTCTGAGGTCGAAATGATCAGAAGAAAGCAAGAGAAAAGTTTTGTACTGCAGTTCAAAAGCCATGGCAACTGCATGAAAGAGAGACAAGGCAACGAGGTTAAAATTAAGATGAGAGAAAAAGACTCCTCAGTCACACTTGAATTGGTTTATTTATGAATTGCAAAGGAAAAGCCATTTTAAAAAGTCTGAAGATACAGTTATGAGGTTGGCAGGCAGCAGGATTGGCAATATAATTTTGACATAAAGCAAAGAGGAGCATAGGAGCAGAAGGGTGGCATTAAAGTTGACCGATCGAGCATCAAAGAAATTTATGTTATTTCTGAGACAAAAGGGAGCATTAAAACGAAGAGAGCTGGAATCTGGGGAGCGCATCACGATTTGTACAGTGTTGCTATTTCCAAAATTAATACCACCTAATGCAAGCAGAAAGCATTCAAGTCATTCCTGAACACTCCACCAAACTGCAAATTTTATTCCTCTAGTGCTACCTCTGTATTTTTACTGTGTATCTTATTTTACTGCATGAATGGGACTTTTCCCAGGCATCTTATTTTAAAACCTCAGTGTACAGGGAAAAACTAAGGGATACTGGTTTAGACCATAGCAGCTTTAGACATAAAATCACTTCTAATTCTCCATCCACAGGTTGCTATCAAAAAAAAAAACAAGTCACCCACTGCCAGTGGCACACTTCTCCAACACACTTTCTCCACCATTTATTACATCAAGAATTGATGAAAATACCCAATTGCTGAGAAAAGCTGAGGGGTCTGACATGTATCAACTTAAAGAAAAAGTGAATCAGAACCTCGATCTTTATAAAATTGGCCGTAAAGTGGTTCAAAATAAACTTTGAATGCAGATAGTGATTTTTAACTTAGCGTGATCAAGCAGAAATGTACTTCATTTATGTTTTAGTTGCATTCAATTTAACCACTTGAATTTTCAAACCCAAAGCTCTATTAACAATTTCCAGTTCAAACTTTCCCTTTTAAAGCGCTGGTAATCCAAACGTTGCCCCACAACATATAAGTGTTAAAAGAGTTTAACTGTAGGGCCACACTCCCCCATCTCCACAAAGAAAGTGCGTTATGTGACAGACTATCGTATTTTTCAGACTATAAGACGCACTGGTGTATAAGACGCACCAAGATTTCAAAAGAGGTAAGAAAAAAAAAGGTTTTGCCTTCCCTCAGTCCCCAGCAGCCCTCTGCAGGCTTCAGCAGGGCTGGGACAAGGCAAAAATGCCCTCGTTGGGGACTGAGGGAAGGCAAAATAGCCTCCGTCTTTGTGAAAAACGGCTCGTTTTTTTGCAAAAATGGGATACAGAGGCGGGGCTTCAGGAGGCCAAAAATGGCTGTATTCAGTGTATTAGATGCAC